TCCTTTCCAGCCCAAACCTTTCTATGATTCTGTGATTTACATTCACTTGCTGCAGCTGAGTTTAGATTTGTACCGTGCATGATTTTATTCCTGTGGTTCAGGACACAATAACGTGTGATGTGCTGTGTGCGACTGAAACTTTACTCTGTAGGAGTAAACCCTTGGGGGTTTTTTTGTGACAATGCCTGCGTTAGTATTTCCGCGCTTTATAAACAGAGATTAATTTTCACAGCATCTCTCTGAGGTAAAGATGTTTTAATTTCAGTGTGAGAAACTGAGGTATGCATATTTAAATAATTTTAATGCAGAGCGTGAAAGGTCTGTACCTGACTCACCTCATCTCCTCTGGTCTTCAGAAAAGAATACAATATTTAATAGCAATGTCTGATTTTGCATTACAAATAAGAAGGGGGTCAGCTGGAGGAAAGATGGCTTTGATTTCATAACCAGCTGTATCAACCTAAATGTGTTAAATTTAAGTTGTGTAAACATTCCTGATTTAGGCACTTTTGATAATTTCTTTTTACTGCTTGACTTTGCAATACCCTGTAAGACTAAACAGGGAGAAGCTAACTAAAGGGTGCTTCTTTTCAGCAGCTTTCTGTTTTCTTGTATGAAGCAGAAAATAATCACGCCATCCATGTAGCTGTAGTATTGCTGCTGCTTCTGGCGGGGTGCCTTACTGAAAGATTAAAGATTTTAGCTACTACTTTGTGACAAGCGTTGCAGTGCAGTGGGCAGATCTTTAAGCCACTCTCAGGCTGCAGTTGTGTTTGCTTAGGCAAGGGCTTCAGGGCAACTCCAGGCTTCCTAAAATGAGAAGCAGATGCCCTAATCTAGGAAATATTCTTCATAACTTTCAGATGTGGGAGGATGCAAAATCTCTTGGAAGTGCAGGTATTGGACTGGCTGGCTGGAGACAGGCTAAATAAAGTAGCAGTGATTCATGCGTGCTGATAATTATTTTCAAGATCACATGTCAAGCACCTGTACTTCAGTTAATCTGTAGGCAGGTTTTCTGCGGGTGGGAAAGAGGGATGTGTTATTTTGTTGGAATTTTCTCATCTCTCAAGGACAGTTTAAACGTGGAAAAAATTTCCCAGAGGCTAATGACTTACATCTAATATGTTTGTGAATATAGGCCTTATGAAACTAATAACTGTGTCAGTAATACGGTGACTTCTTTTTTCTAAGAGGTTTATATTTTTATATTGTTTTAATTATTGAGTGTAGAGGAGACTAAATTTATTAGGCTTCTGCTCATACAGCTGTAAAGGGGAAGAAATGCTATATAAGGAATGATGCTCAGAATCTGAGCTCTGTTGTAGGAATAGCAGACTTGTGACACCTTTAAATCTTTCCTTTTTTTTTTTTTTTTTGGTAATTTTTTTGGAGAATTTATTTCACACCAGAACCATTTATAATACTACAAGTGATTACTGCCCTCCCCTTCTTGTGTTTCTACCTTCTCTTGGTTTGTTTTCCCTATCTCTGGTAATGAAAGAAGCCTTTGAAGTTCAACGTTTTTTTTCCTCTCCCTTCCCAGTACAAGTTCAGAGACCTGACCATAGAAGAACTGAAGAATGTTAATAAGACCTACCCAAACTTCACATTCTCCATGAACACATACAGTAAGAAGTGATACGGTTATTTTGAACTAATTGTGGGGATTCTTAGTTGCCATAAATTCAGGCTGTGTATAATAGAATCTAAATAGTGTTAATACCTTTCATTGTGTTCCAGTCTTTATTTTGACTCGCAGTAAAACTTCTTACACCATGTGACTTTTAGAAAGTTCTTTCAAGAATGCATACATATAAAAAAATGAAGCAACTCATTCACTAAATTTAATTGTATTTTAACCTGTCAGTAATTATAGAAGATTGATATTCTTTTCAATTCTTTATATGTAACAGCATTTTTCCCATATCCCATGATTGTACTGAAAGCATTTTGGTGTCTTTAGCTTATCAGGCATAACTTCCAGAATCCCTCAGCCTGAGTGAAAGTCACCAGAAGCACCTAGGACAAGGGATATTCAGACATGAGACTAATGATGTGTTTAGTTGTACTAATGCAATTTTCATCAAGATTCCTTTAAGGGATTATCTCAAAGGGGAAGGGGGACCTTTGTAACATTAAAGCCTTGGCTCTTTCAGCAGTGGACTTGATTTCTGAAGAAAAATTTGTTCTGGATAGTGGATTGCTATGCCAGATTCAAAAAGATTTATTATTATTATTTCTTTAAATCACATTTTTACTTTCAGCCTTCAAGGATGGATCGCAGAAGGATCTCCTGAATTTTAGTGGTACTGTTCCAGTGAAATATGGTAAGATAAATATAATCTTCTTACCAGTTATGAACCTAAATGTAAAATGTGTTGGGAACTGCCTCTTAACAATACACTGTGCAGCTTCATTAAAAGTGGCTGTAAAGGATTTTGCATGAATTGGCAGAAGCCACTTCTACTGCAAGTGCCTTCATGCACACACAGATGCTGAAATAAGATGGTATTAATTAGATGACTCAACTATTTAAAAAAAATCACGTAGTTTGAGACTGTTTAGGCAAACTCTTTGGCTCTGATGAAGGTTGCATGAACTCTACAAGCCCTATGCTTGTAAAGGCAGTGTCCAAAAACAGCTAGTAGGTAATTCTTTATTTTTTTAACTTAAAGGCTTGAAATCTGAGATAAATTCTTGGTAGATGCCTCTTTGCATCAGTTGTTGAGTCCTAAAGTAAGTATGAAATGGGTAGCTGTAAGAGATTTCTTTACCCAGAAAAGGAGACGCATTAGATAGATGGAACAGGCTGATAGAATACTCAGGAAAGCAAAACAATGATGAAGCCTTATATTAAGAAACACACAATGGCAGCGCTTCAAGTTGATCCAGACAAGGCTGTTCCTATTAACTAGCCAGAGTAACATAAATACTTTCCAATGTGAATCTGGAAAGTGATCTATCAGGCTTTTTTATTTTGTCATTACAAAGTGTGAATCACATGCACACGTGCCTGGTTTGTAGTGCCTCTTCTCAATGCAGAAGCTAGTAATGGCTTTTATTTTGTGTTGAACAGGTAATTCCTATAACATACCTATTCGTCTGTGGATTCTGGATTCTCATCCTTTTGCTCCCCCCATTTGCTTCTTGAAGCCAACTGTGAACATGGGCATTTCAGTAGGAAAGCATGTTGATGCTCATGGCAGGATTTATTTGCCCTACCTGCAAAACTGGAGCCATGTAAGAGGTGGAGTGGCTGACAGGGGAGGGGGGAGTATTTGGGAATAATGCATGGTATCTTATGGAGATCAATGGGGAAGAGTGGGTAGGGTTCCTGGCATTTTTGTTTTCTGCATTTTTTGGATAATCTTGATTATGTAATGATTCTGCAAAGAGAAATAGAATGTTACATCTCTTGAAATTACAGCTTTCAGACAGTGTGAAGCAATTGTAAAGAAGTTTTAAGTGATTGTAAGGAAAATTATTTTAAGCTGAGGAAAAAGGGGCCTGACTTTGTTACAAAGCAATGTAAGCCTTGTGATACTTTTTTGTTTCTGTGAATAGTAAATAATATTAGACCAGTTGAGTGTCCCTTGAGAAAGTTCAGTGGAAGTTTCTATCTTCTGGGTATGTCTCAGCAGAACTCTGAAATGTTAGCATAGAGATTCAAAAGCCGATGCTATATTCCCAAATGATTTTGTGCTCTGTATTAAGTAACTTACATAAATGTGACGGCCAGGCCAGTAAAAATTATTTAATGAATGCTAGTTTTCTGAAATGGGTGGGACATATTTCACATTATTGTTATAGAATGGGAGCTTTTAGTGATTTCTAAATGTGTTTTTCCCAAAAGAGAACTGAGTTGCCAAAACTCCAAATGGTTAAGCTCATCTGAGAAGACTGAACTACCCTGCCTTGAGCTATGATTTGTCCCATTTATGATATATCAAAGACTTCCATATGTTTGTGGATGCCTTCAAAAACTAGTTGCACTAATAATTTCAATTTTATAATTACTTTTTGTTAAATTCCTTTTAATCCATACTTCTGTTTGGAAAGTACGTCCTCATAAAGTAGTGCTTTTCTTTCCCCTAAGTGTTTATGTGTTAAAGGTGTCAAGATTTATAATTTGAATAAATTTTATATAGCTATGGATCTTTATGAACTACTGCTGGTTACAGCTGACACCACTATACGGAACAGCTATTCAACTGTTCTGTCTTCTGTATTGCTATCTTTCAGCCTAAATCAACTGTCATTGGATTAATCAGGGAAATGATTGCAAAATTTGAGGAAGAGCTCCCTTTGTATTCACTGTCATCTTCTGATGCTGCCAGGCAATCGGAACTTCTCTCCTACATTGCAAAGATTACTGAAGGTGTGGATGTTTTCATATATTTGTTAGTAATGTTCTTACACAGTAATATGCTTCGTTTATTTTTATTACTTGATATCACAAAGATGCCTACACAATTTTAATAGCTGAAGTTTTGGTGTTCGCATGTCCATAGTGTTGGCATTTTCTTTGTATAATCCAGAGTGCCTCTTTTTGAACAGAGAGCTCAGATTCTCTTCATTTGAGTAAGCAGCTCATTTTGCATTTAAGCCTACTGAAAAATGCTGTAGATTTGGTACTACTCATTTGCTGGAAATTACTGCAGCAAAGCTCAATATGAGATCTTGTGTAAGAGAAATGGGATTTTATTATAAACAAGTTGTTTTTCCCCAATCACAATCATTCATTCTGTCAGATCTCATTCACTCACACTCTCACATCCACAGTCGCAAGTCCTGAGGCCCGTCTGACCACAGTCACTGGTGTGTAACACTGAGGACAAGGAGTGCTGGCTGTTGAGTCCATATCATGTCTCTTGGGTTCTTGTTCAGTGGTGACAAGCTGATTTCGGACTTGTCTTTTATACCCTTCAGGAGTGGATGCCATTTGGCATTTTTGCCTCATTACTTTATCTCACCCATTGTAAGTTTTGGGCAAAATTCCTGATTTTCGCATTTCTCATGTTTTCTTTATCTGGGTATTTCATGGGTCCAGTCCTGTTGCTGTTCATCCTGACACATTTTCTTTGGTTCAGTTTTTTCTTCTTCCTTCTTTTAGTGAAACCATGGTGGTGATCTGTGGCACCTAGTGCACACCTTCCCCTTCAACCCTTTTCTGCTGTTTCTTCTGATAATTGTATACACACACATGCTTGTGAGCGCACACGCGTGTCCACACAATTCACATTCCCAGGCAATCAATGTTTCTGTTACAAATCTCTCTGCCTTATACTCAGAGTTGTGTTACGAGTAGCATTGGCTAAACAACCTCAGATCATTATATTTTAATCAAATTCCATTTTGCTTGTCTTTTCAAAATAGGAAATCTTTTACAAATGTTATGACCATGGTATATATTCACACCTGTAACAGTAGCAAAGGGATTATTGTTTGTATGGTCTTAGTGCCTAGCTTCTTGCTGTTGGTATGCTCATATTTTCTACTTAGTGAAAAAACATTCCTATCCTGAGAGGAATGTTTGTGGTTTACACCTTGCGAGTTGTGATTAATTTTCTGTGGTCACTCTTGACCACTATTTTGAAAAAGTTTATGTAATTTGGTTTAACTCTGGCGCAACTATGATCCTTTAAGAAGCAGCAGTACTTGTATTGATACAGTGTGGACCAGTACTTAAGTTTGTGGTTTTCTTTTAATTGTAGGAGAGACTGACTTGAAAGCAAAGAGTAAAATTGGTGGAGGCAAAAATGAAGGATGTATTAACAAAATTACAATTGTTGGAGCTGGAGATCTTGGCATTGCGTGTGTGCTAGCAGTTGCAGCAAAGGTACATAATTAATATAAATAGAACAGCCCTAATTAACAGACAGGCTTCAGTTTAGTTCTTAGTGGCTGACACATAGAAATAACGCAGCAGTTTCAATAACTCATAAACCATGTGACTGCTTTTCTCATTTGCCTCATCAGTTAACTTATGGACACACAGAAGTGTTAGTTTCTGCCCTGTTTTCTCAGTCACCTTTTAAATACAAAAGGTTGAATATTGAATTCGCATATTTTGAAAATCCTTATTTAAAGGATTCTTGCCTCTTACAATCAGGATCTTCTAGTCCCCTGGAAAAGCATAGTCTGTAGATGGTCTGCACTTCATTATGGCTATATGCTCAGAGACGTCAGTAACACCAACATTTAGAACTTACCAGAGATGGTTTTGTGAGTTTATTGTTTGTTTCATAATAAGTTATTTTGCAATTAAGCTCACTAAACTAAATTCTTTCTCTTGGGATTTGACAGTGATTTTGATCAGCAATTTTGTTTGTTATATACACAGTACAACAAACACTGGCATTAGAGCAATATAGGGATATGTTCCTCATCCCTACAAGAACAAATTTTTGTTTGTTTTATTGTTCATCTGCATTATTTTTATTAATACAGGGTACTGCAGACAAGGTGGTTCTTTTGGATCTTTCTGAAGGTGCAGCAAAAGGAGGAACCATGGATTTGGACATCTTTGCTTTGCCAAACGTCGAGATCAGCAAAGGTATTAGATGTTGTTTCTGGAATGGGAGCAAATATGTACTGTGTATGGTTGTGCTCGTTTTAATAAGAGCAGGACACCTGGGGAGATACAGAGATTCTGGCATATAGGCCATCTTTTTTAAACTAGGATGTTATCTTCCCATAGTTTCTTGCTTTTCTTCTTTTCAGGGTAGAATTGTTAAGGGAAGGCTCAGCAAAGCTTGCATTGCTTTTATTTCAGGCTTTTTTCATTCTGTTTATAGATGTAGAGGTGTGTGAGCCTGTACTTCCAAGGTAAGAGGCTAATGCTGAAATTGGACTCGTGCAGAAGTACAGAGAAGCGAAGCTATTACTTCAGAACCATAAGTAGAGAGAGGGAAAGAAGGGGGGTGGAAGTATGCGTACGCTGAGCAATTAGAGATAGCTGTGAGAGCAGTGTTTTTAAGGCTAATAAGTAAAGGTAAATTTGAAAGTGCTGCTTTGCTAGATTGATGTTCATTAAGCACACACATGGCAAATAGTTCTCAATCACCATCACTGCGTATTCAAACAATTAGTTCCTAACAATCTTGTCCTCAACTGTGAGCATACAATTCAAGAGTCAATACCGTGTCTCCATAAGTAGTGGTGATGGCTAGTCTTTGATGATCTTAGTAGCAGAGGTTGAGGTGCTCAAAGGCTCTTCCACAGCGAAAGCTGGAACTGAATTGCGCAACTTCACTATTCTTCCTCGCTTGTGTGTTGTGTTTTTCTGTCCTTGTGCCCTCTGCAAGATGAAACGGGGATTTTTCCTGTGCTTCTAATGTAGTTTATCTTATTTTGGAGACAGGGACTTGTTCTGGTTCCACCAAGCATCTTAACTGCTTATTCCACACCTGTCATTGCCTGCTCTACATCCTTTCATCTATCTTGCAGGTTTTACTGCTAGCACACTTTTTTTCTTGAACCCTGGTTGTGCGACTGTACCACAAATCTCTGTTTGTGCCTTTGTGGTTACCTGTGATATATTTACATTTAGGTACAAAAAGCTTGTTGCTGGCTATGCTGTTAGTAGTGTTAAAATATTACAAAATGCTTATACAGTCACCTTTTCTTTTAGTATGCTTACATCTAGGTTTGGGGCAAGGTGGTATTAATTATATCTTGCTTAGTATGCTTCCAATATGCTTGCAATGCAGTAGGCCTCTACTTTGGCTTCAGCTCTTTTCAGAAGTGGTGTGACAGTCATATTATCTTGTTTCTGTGTCCAAGCTGATCACCTGTATGGTACTCGGATATTCAGAATTACCCCCTCAAGGTGTCACTGAAAGTCAGGAGAATAAAACTCCTTAATACTAATGTAGCATTAAGAAGCAGGCACTTCTTTATTGCAACGCTGGGTGCTAGGTGGGATTTCCACAAATGGAGCACACTCAGTGCCGATTTCGTCATTATATTTACACACAAAAATTACAAGGTAGTACACTCCCAGTTACAATGATTGGTGAGTGATTTGCGTGCAATTATAATATCTGCCATGTCATTCTCTTCTGTTTCTACGCTTGTGCGGAGGAAGGGCCTTCACCTGGGCAAGGGTCTTCTTGATCTGTGGGTGTGTTTTTTAGTATTATGATGAAGGCAGTTTACTTCAGGACACCTTAAAACTAAGTTTTGTTGCCATGTTGTCTGGCTAGATATCTGTCTTGCCAAGTTGTCAAATAACTCATCCTATATACAGTAGACCCTCGGTGCTCTGGTTATGGTCTAGAGAGTGAGGACTAGGGCTAACACGTTACAGAGAACAGGGACTTCGAGCAACACAGCGTTGGATTTCAAGCAGCACAGCAACCCATGCTAACATAGAGGCTAACTTGAATCAAAATGTTCCTATAGCTGTTTCACAAAAAAACACAAAATATAGAAAGATTCAGTAAAATTTAAGATAATCTGTAACAAAGGCATCTTTGACTTAAGAATTTCTGCAACAAATATCTTGTATCTTTTCTTGAGCTATAAATACATGTATTTTACTTGAGTTAATAAATAGACTTTTGGAACACTTTTTATGGTTGTCTACCTTGTCCTTGATTGAGCTATAAAACTAAAAAAAAAAAGAAATCATAGAAACCTCAGATAAAGGAAGTCTTTTCCCTTATTTAAAAATTTGAATAAAAATGAAGGAGCTTTTTCACGGATGTTTTTTTCATGGGTGATTTTGGTCTTGGGTTGTTTTGGTTTTTTTTCTTTCTCTTGCCAAGAATACTTGGAAAAGCATATCTGTCAGCCCTGTACAGATGTTTTCTGGTCTCTGCTCTGTAACCCTGGACAAACTGCAGTCTGCTTTCTCTGTTTGCCAGCTATGAAATGGGAAAGTAGTTCTGCAGGAAACCTGTGTTTTACAGGTGCTGTGGAAGCACCCCAAATTCCACACTGGGGAATATGGGGAGAGAGAGGAGGTGAAGAATCCCTAATCTGGATGCTGCAGTTCAGCTTCAGGACACCTCTTCGTTTTGCATCCAAAACCCAACAGAATGACATGAATTTTAAAAACCTCTTTTCTTTATATTTTCAGATTTTTCTGCTTTGGCTGATTCAAAAGTTGTGGTACTTACAGTTAATTCTCTGGGTAATGCTCAAACTTATCTTGATGTCATACAAAGCAATGTGGATTTGTTCAGAGGAATTATCCCAGCAATATCACACTATAGTCAGAACGCTGTTCTCCTTGTTGCTTCTCATCCAGGTATGTAGGTACTTCACCTAATGTTCTGTCCCTCAGCTGGCTATCTTTTTTGCCTGCTTCAAAAATATGTTACTGCTGAATGCACCCAGTAGTCAAAAATTCTTGCTACTCTGAAAGATGTTTTCATTTTCAGCTTTGAGCAGGACACTGTCTTTGAGGGTTTTTTCTTTACTGTTACCAAGATAAAAGAAAATAGTGTACTTGGTATAAAAGGTATGTATTTCTATGTGTTTCTGTACCTAGCTTCAACCTGACTGTATCTACAAGATTAGCATCCATTTGCTGTTGTCTTGTCACTTGTGAGTTTTACGTATATGTTTCTCCTGTGCAGTATGGATAGATGCATGTGTGTTATGTGCCATATATGATTAGACTCACAGATTAGTATGTCCATAATACAGTGTTGATAGTAAATATTGCATCTCTGTTTTGGTGGAAAGTTTATATCTGTTGTGCCAGTGAAACTGTGAACTAAGACAAAGCAAAAGCACAACTTTAAAGGGAAAGAATAAGTGCAAGCCTCTCTGTCCTGTAAACACACTGAAGACAGCCCTTCTCTATATCTCAAGTGCTTCTTACCCTTCCTATCATTTAAAGCTATGGAGATAGAAAAGAGAGTGCTTGCCAAATGAAAAGAAAGTAAATACTGGCTGAATTATATTTAGAAGCATGTGAGATTTTTGGTAGAAGGACGCATTGGTGACTCATTCTGAAGTTCCACTAAGACTTCTCTTTAAGCTTTACTTGGGCTGTGAATTTTCTTCACCTCTTCCACACCTGACTTGGTGGTTTAGGTTGAAATAAACTACTGGTATGTCCTTACATGCTTATACCTTTTCTAAAGTAAATTTGGTCCTGAGTTTTTGGTAATTGTGAGTCGTAGTTCACAGTTGTGTTGAATTTTGAGTGGTCTTTTATTGTCGACCTATTTTTCTTTTTCACATACAGTTGAAGTAATGACATACGTGACATGGAAGCTGAGTGGGTTTCCCAAAAGCAGAGTTATTGGAGTAGGTGCCAACCTAGATACTGAGAGATTTCGGAATATACTGGCAAACCTTTTGAAAGCACAGGTGCTGGCAAAAGATGCTTGGATCATTGGTGAACAAGGGGAAGACAAAGGTAAAATGATACTTTATTGTGACTATGAGTATATAATGTCCTGGCAGTGCTTAAGTAATTGAGTAATGAAAGAATAATTGAAAAAAGTAATGCAGGTGGTCATAAGCAGGGTAGCAAATTTTCATAATAATGGTTCTCAGTAATGCAGTTTTGGTGTGTGCCCAAGGCTGTGGACCTGGAGTGATAACAGAAGTATTTGACACTTGTCATAGTAAAAAAAACCAAACAAACAAACAAAAAAAAACCAAACCACAACCTCAAATGCTTTTTATTTGGTAAAACAATACAGGTTAGAGGTAGTGAGAGAGGAAAGAGATGTAGTATAGTAGGTTACTGCTCACATAAGAATTATTACATACTACTTCATTTTTAAGCAAGTCTCTAGCCAGACTTGCTTAAAAAGTCTGGAGGTTATTTTAGCAGTCCAGGCAGCCTTAGAAGGTCATTAACTATATTTGGGTTGTTGTGCAGGAAGGAAGGTTTGGAAAGCTTGAATTTATTACTTTTTTTTTTTTTTTTTAATTCTCCTCACCTTTTCTGGTACCTATTTTAGTCACTGCCTAGATGTACATTTAAACATTGTTTCTATTTAGTGCCAGCATGGACGAGTTGTAATTCAGTTGCAAGTCAAACAGAAGGAATGGCTGCTGTTAACTCAAGGGAAACCGTGGCTAACAGGTAACGCCATTACAACCTCGATTCTCTTTTCCTCATGTTTAGGCACTTGCTGTTTGCAGAGCTTTTTTTCTTCAGCTCCTTATGAAGAGGAGGAAGTTTGCCCTAAAATGTTCACACATTGAGTCTACAGGAATTTGTAGGTCTGGGTGTTACTCACTCTCAGATATGTGTATATGGCCCCTCCTTTTATGAAGTTCTTAATAACGATGTGCCTGTGACGATCTAAGGAGAAGACAAGCTTTGTAGAATATGCATTAAAATATCAGAGCTGCCAGGTCAATCGTGTGGGTTTTTCTTTAAAAAAGCTTTCTGGCACACTTTTTTCAGAGCTTCTGTGGAAGCAGTTTACTTCAAAGCAAACAACCTGATTGAATTAGCCAAATAGCAATTGCACCTCTTGACAGAGAATTATTACAAGTGTGGGAAAATGTACGTAAATTCTTTAAAGTAATTCTTCATTCTCTTCTGTTGTTTTCCAAACCAGAAATCATGGGTTTATAGTACACTTTACTTGATATGGTGCATTTAATCTGTCTTTTGGGTTTTACGTATAAACCAAATAGGAACAACTGAAATCTAAGCATCATGTTTTTCTCCTTTTCCTGGTTTATATAGAGCTATGGAAGTTCTAAAGGGAAAAGGTCAGAGATCTTGGTCTGTTGGGCTCTCAGTTGCTGATTTGTCTGACAGTATACTGCAAGATAAAAGAAAGGTTCATTCTGTGTCCACTCTGGCAAAGGTAAATGTGTTAATATCTTTTGGTTGGCACTGTAATTATATTACTTATACTGGATATGACCATTAATTTTAGCAGGACAGACATCTCACTTAAAGAACTGTTCTGAAGTAGCACTACTTCCATTACTTTCTTCCAACAATGACTCTAAATACCAGTCCAAAAATGAGCAAAAGTCAATTATTGTGTTAATCTGAAACCAATATAGAAGTGGATTATTCTCCCAAAGATACAAGACACCGGGGGGAAATATGTTCAGGGTTGCTGACCAGCTCCCCCAGAATAGCTGGATTTGGTAAATGAAGAGAAATGTGTGTGTTACAGTCTCCCAGTGCTCAGTATTGAATGCAGATTTGTCCAGGGGCCAAAAAGGTTCAGTATCTTTTACGAAAGTATAAAATGCATTTTCTGCCAATATTTTATTTGACCAGCTTTGAAACAGCTGGTTTTTTACTCAGTGATACTTCACACTGAGGAGAAGATCACGAAGCTACATTTACCTTCAAAGTTCTGTCTACAGTTTTAAGTTTATCCTAAGAGGCTTCATGGAAGCATGAAGTCATTTCGTGTGAGGAAAAGGAAAGAAAACCCATGTAGAAACATGTGCTTGTCAATTCTGTTTACAGGCTTCAGAAGAGTGATTTGCAGGTCCCAGTGCAGGGAAGTTAAGCAAGCTGCTTATTGCATCAAGTACAGAGCTATGCCTAATTTCATCATCATGTTTTCAAGTAAAGTTTTGAATCATTTATGAATTAAACGCAGATGCAGAGGAGTGACAAGTCTCTTAAACTGCAGAGTAACTACAGAATGTAAAATTTCCCATACAGATCCTAAGAAGAAACAAAATTTACAGTGTAAACTCGAATCACAGGGATATAAGGTTCACTGAAGGCTCTCACAGAATGAATATAGGATCAATAATTGAAAAATATTCCCTGGATAGCATGATCTGGCTGCATTTTTTAATTTCATCTGTTAAGTCCTAAAAGAACTGACGATAATGTCCTAGCAAGTGTCCCTGCTTCTTCTACCTAAGAAACTGATTAAACAGTTTTTTGTAGGATAAACTTTGCCTGCAGTGTCGAGGTCTGCTATATCTGTATTAGGAAACTCCTCCAAGTGTGGTATGGTGCAAGATATTTTGGTTTTATCTGTACAATAATATTTTACAGTTTCTATTCAGTAACCTATTGCACAGGATTTAAAATAACTCACATTTGACCTATAAAAACATGCCATATGATGGAATATCTTTGCATAACTAAAATCAAGTTATTCGATGTAGTTCCATGCTTCAGACAGAGCTGAAAATAAGTAACTGTGTGACAGTGTACTTTGCATGCTGTTTCAGGGATGCTGCAATATAAACAGTGAAGTATTCTTAAGTCTGCCATGTGTTCTTGGAACCAACGGAGTGATTGAAATGATCAAACTAGAAGATGATCCACTAGTGCAAGAGAAACTGCAGAGCAGTGCAGGATCAATTCATGACCTTCAGCAGCAACTGAAACTGTAAGCAAGCACAAGAAAAGCCAGTGTCTGCTCGCAGAAGTCGGAGATTTGCTAGGTGAAAAGGTTGCTTGGTATATATGGATTTTTATGTAAAACAAGGTGGTTTTTCTGTTTGTTTTGGTTTTTTTTACTGTCAAAAAGTGCTTTCTCACTTTTGGTTTAAATTATGTAATACTGCAACAGTAATTGCTTATTTGAAAAGTGCACTTTCGGTAGCCAAAATGAGGAGGGTAATGTGGAAAAATGTTTTACCTAAATTCAGGTGACTTCTGCCTGTGTTTTGTTGTTGCTAATTATAGCCTGGTTCTTAGGTTATTCTTAGCTCTTTGCACCTCATTAGGAGACAACCTAGGAGTGGGGCTTACCCAGCTCTGCAGAAACTCCAGTGTGCAGAGCCCACCAGAACTCTTCCTCCTGGTATTTAAGTGCTTCACTGGGGGCTTGTTTAGAACACGGTAACACTCCAGGTCTTCAGGACACTCAGAGATGCAGTTTGATAGCTCGACCTTCCATGCCAATTGCAGTTGCTCTAATGTGGACTCCTGCTTGCTACTAAGGGATAAAAACGTAAAAGCATGACATTAACAATACCCTTCAAACCTGAGGAATTGGATATGAATTTCTGTTTAACGATTTCTGAGTCTTTCTGGTCATGATTTGTTTGCTCTTATTTTGGGAGGAAGTTCAGAGCACTAAAGCATCTGCAGTTCTTGGTACATACATGCAACACGCTTACTCTGTGCAGCACTGGAACAGGTGCTCTTCCTGAACAGGAGCAACAGGGGGTGGGCTTCAAATAAGGAATAAAATCTGCCAATTAAGTAATGCAGAAGTATCTATGAGTTCAGGCCTTCATCCCAAGCCTGCTGATGTCAGTAAGCTTTACATCAGCCCAAGGAGAATACAACTGCTTGAGATGGGAACAGAACCCGTAACCCTTCTCAGGGGAAGCCAAGTATGAGGTGAAAAAGCAGGATGTGGATTTTTAGGTAAATCAAAGAGCAGATGTTTTGAGATGAAGGGTTTATTGGGCTCTAACCTCTTGATTTGCTGCACTGGTAAAATACTGTATTCATCCTGATCATACCTCAGCACAATGCTGCAGGCAGAGGAGGCGTGAGCTCCACTCCTGCTGTGCACAGCATAGGAACGTCATTGCACATTTGCGTCTTGAGGGGAGACTGGTTAAATACTGATGAAGCTTTCTAAGCTAAAATAGTATCTGTGTCAGTGAGAGATCTATTCCTTTGTGTCTTCCAGTTGTGTTTCACAAAAAGCCAGCCTTACAAGGAATTCTGAGTTATACTGATCTCTGAATTAAGATAAAAATATAATGGGGAAAAAAACAAAACAAAAAAAACCCAAAACCAAAACCCCAAACCTTAAATAATTTCAATTTTTTTTTTCTTCAAATACTCGTATTTCCTCTTTGTGGTGGTCTCTTGATAGAACAAAATTAGTGATGGCTACAGGTGACCAACTTGTTGCTCTATTATATATCCCAACACAACAGCTGGACTTTGGGGGTTGTCTTTTAATCTCTTCAGAAAAAACAGCATAAACTCACGTGCTTACATTGTTCTTCGAGGTGTTTTGTTTATAACGCTGAACACTTATTCTCATGTGAACAGTCGAGATGTTTTGTTTATCTGGGGGCGGTTTATTACTACTTTTCATCATAAAAAGCCGCAAGCTGTTTCAGCTGGTCATTAGATCGACGCTTCTGCTCGTGGCTTGTCACTCGTGTTTATGTTGAAAAGCAACCAAAGGGCCGCGGCACTTCCCGTTCTCACGGGGAGTGAGTTCCCAGGACCACTTCGTAACAATAAACCGCACCTCAGGCCCGCGTCCGCGCAGCGATTTCGGCACCCCGAGGCCCGCTACACGCGTCGCCCGCCGCCCTCTGTCCCGTCGCGGAAGTGCCGTCACAGCCCC